GGGGGGGGGGTGTGCGGGGAGGCAGGGCTAAAGGGCAGGTCCAGGTGGTGGCCAAGCCAAAGCATCCAAGCCATAGAACCCTGGGTTTGAATGAAGTGGTTAGCCGGAAGGCCATATGTAGAACTGATTAAAGCCGGAATATGTTGTCGAAATGGCGCTGGGGGACTGAGAGCCCCAGCGGCTGTGTTTCCTCTTTCCCTCCCTCGCTCCCAGCATTCCCAGGAGCATAGCCTACACTGCTGTGGTCTAATATGTTCCCTTTACACTTAGGAAGCTGAGACTCAGAAGGGACTAGAACCCTAGGTGAGGTGGGTACAGGTGCCTTATGGGCTTGCAGGTCAGCCTAAATATTGCAGATCAGAAACTTGGAAGTAGCTAGGCCTTCATTTTTTTCCCTCACCTGCAAGTATATAAGAGTTATATTTTTATCTGTGTAATTAGGAATTCATTTAATAGGGCCCTTTTTAAAAGACACAGTGGTGACACAGACACGGCTCTGAGGCTCCCCGAGTATGAAGGTCATCCGTCTCTGGGGCATTAACTCAAGCCTGTGCAGGGAGCAGAGCTGCGGTTCTATTCTGATGATGCTCAGCTGCACAGACAAAATAACTTTTGCTTATTTTGCCATTCAGCCCACCTCCTCAATGACCCACTGCCTGGCTGGGTAGCAGTCTGCCGACCTAGTCAAAGGATAAGCAGCTAAACTGTTAGTCTCCTGAATGTTTGGACTTCAAGAGTTCGTCTCCTCCGAGCTACCCCTCCCGAAGTTGACCTTGGGGAAGTCCAGTGATTTCTAGAGCCCAGTGGTGAAGATGGGGGTAGGTTCTCTGACGGAGCCCTCTGGAAACTCACTAGCCTCCCACGTGCACAGGCCATGGCAGTTCTGCTCAGCACCTCCTGGTGTGACTGATGGCCTGAAAGGACAGCTCATCAGGTCTCCCTTCTGCTCCACTTGTGTCCTCAGACCCCGCAGGCTCTCTGCTCTCACCCCCTGGGTCCCTAGGGTCCACTGTCCACCACACAGGATCCATGAGGGCCAGTGAGTCTGGCCAGACCGTACTGCTTCCTCACCTTACAAGGCTGCCCTTCCCTCTCTGCCGGGGGCGGGGCGGGGGGGGGGGGGGGGTTCCGTTTGGGCCCGGAACCCTCTGTTTCGTACCAGGGCCTCCTGGTGGGACAGAAGTTCCTCTTGCCCTCGGCACCCCTTAGCCTCTCGGCAGACTTCTCCCCACTCCAGGACCTTCTTGGGGAGAGATGAGAACGCACATCGGGCCTCCCACCTTCCCTGCTCCTTCATTCATGAAGCTAAAGAAGCAGGTGCTTCCACCTCCCTGTCCTGTCTGGCCCTCCCTTAGTCCAGTGGGTCTCCTCTTGATAAAGGGGCAGATGAAAGAACTTAGTCCTCTTTAGGTAAGACTTAGCTTTCAAAACCATTGCCTGGCTGAGAAAATCTCGTTCTGCGTGGCTGAATCTGCATCTTACCCTTTCCCTTCGTGCTGCCCCTCCAGCTGCCTCGTCTCCCCTGCAAGCCCCTCACTCAGCTCCCGCAGACCCGTTAGGCTGAGCTGTATACGCTGTGGTAGGCGCTGGAGTGCGGGGGCCCAGATGCAAGTGCGGAGGAAGGCCTTGCTGGCCGGCACAGAGACAAGTGACACCCTCACTGGCTTCCTGGTACCCCCAGATCCACCCTTCCCCTTCCTGGGCCAGACCCTCTACTCAGTGGCACACTTGATGAAAAGGGTGGATGATGGGACCAATCAAAGATACTGGTTGTCCCCTTGATTTTTCTTGCACACGCCTTCCTATCTCAACACATCATGTATTATACAGCCAGTGTATAATGTCAGGTAGTAGTAAGAGCCAGGAAGAAAAATTAAGAGTATAATTGAGACAGGAAGTGACACAGTGCTGTTTTACAAAATACATCAGGGAAGGCTTCTCTGAGGAGGTGATATTTGGGGCGGGATCCTTTAGGATGGGAGAGAGGGAATGGCTAGGAGTGGACACCTTTCAGAGCCTGTGGTCCTGCCAGTGGAATGCCTCTCTGCCCCTCTCACAGGCACTGCAGGCTCTTAGCTCGGCCATCTCAGGGTCCACATAGCACGCCTGGAGTCCAAGGCTTGTTCAAGGGATCTTGAGGAGTCTAGTGCAGCTGGGGTCATTGGAGGTGAGACAGGAAGTGGGGCCAGTTATGTGGTACTGTGTGTGGATAGACCACATTTTGTTCATTTATTGATGGACGTTTGAGTCGTTTCTACTTTTTGGCTATTATGATTAATGTTGCTGTGAACATTTCTGTAGAGGTTTTGTGTGGGCACATATTTTCATTTCTTTTGGGGATATATATAGGAGCAAAAGTGCTGGGTCATATGGTAACCCTATGTTTAACTTTTTAGGAACTGCCAGACTTTTCCATAAGCAGCTGAGCCATTTTATGTTCCCGTCTGCTACAGATTGAGGGCTCTAACTTCTCTGCACCCTCACCACCACTTGTTATTGTGTGTGTTTCTATTATAGCCATCCCAGTGAGTGTTAAGTGGCATCTCCTTGTGGTTTTGGTTGCCATTCCCCTAATGCTTAATGATGTCAAGCACCGTGTCATGCACTTATTAGCTATTTGTGTATCTTTTTTTGGAGAAATGTCTATTCAGATCCTTTGTCCATATTTCATTTGTCTTTTCAGTGTTGGGTCGTAAGATTTCTGTATATATTCTGGATACAAATCTCTTATCAGACATGATTTGCAAATATTTTCTCCATTTTGTGGGTTGTCTTTCCACTCTCGATAGTGTCCTTTGACACACAGAAGTGTTTAATTGGGGGGGGCACCTAGGTGACTTAGTCACTTGGGGGTCTGACTCTCGATTGTGGCTCAGGTCATGATCCCACAGTTTGTAGGATCAAGCCCCGCATCAGGCTCTGTGCTCACAGCGCAGAGCCTGCTTGGGATTCCCTTTCTCGCCCTCTCTCTCTCTGCCCCTCTCCCACTCGTGCTCTCTCTCTCTCAAAATAAATAAACATTTTTAAATAAGTGTTTAGTTTTGAGTAAGTCCAGTTTATCTGTGTTTTTCTTTGGTTGCTGATGGTGTCAGTGTCACATATAAGAAAGAAATCATTGCCTAATCCAAAGTCATGAAAACTTACAGTTTGTTTTTCTCCAACAGCTTTATAGGTGTAGCTAAATTCTCTGGTAGTAAACATTTTTTCAGCCCCTTTAATTACAAGTTGTATGTTTTATTATTTTTCACATGAGGAATAAGCCAATTTCTCTCATTTGAAAACCAATCAAAACCCCTATTCAAACAGTAAAAATTAGAATGATCAAAATCCAAAGTAGTTGTCCATAAATAGTGGTATCCTTTATATAATACTGTTCCGTCTACATAAAAATGTCCCTCTGTCTTCTCATATCTTCTTTCTCATTTCCGGATAACTAAAAATCGTGTACATGTTTGCTTATTTAATTTCCTTTACAAAATTGCTAAGTCACTAAAATCCACTAATTTTTTTTTTTAAATTTTTTTCAACGTTTTTTATTTATTTTTGGGACAGAGAGAGACAGAGCATGAACGGGGGAGGGGCAGAGAGAGAGGGAGACACAGAATCGGAAACAGTCTCCAGGCTCTGAGCCATCAGCCCAGAGCCCGACGCGGGGCTCGAACTCCTGGACCGCGAGATCGTGACCTGGCTGAAGTCGGACGCTTAACCGACTGCGCCACCCAGGCGCCCCTAAAATCCACTAATTTTTAATTTAGAAGTTAAATAGCTGAAATTTATTTTGTGCTGCTTGTTTGGTGCTTCCTAATAAAATTAAGATTGTATATGATATCATGAGAAAATATTTCGGAATATTTACTCACAAAAAATTTTATCAGCATTTTTACAAACCATCTTTTGACAACTCATGTGATCACGTGTGTTCCAGTTGTTGTGAAAGCAGGTCATCGAGGAATCACTAAGCAATATTCTCTTATTCCTTATTCAGTTCCTACATAATCTAGAAACTGCGGTCTTTTCTTTAAGACAGTGCTTCATCCTTTCTCTTACGAAAGATTTGCGTACACATTTTAGAAAAGCATTAAAACACTGATAAGCAAAAGGACAACAGTAATCTCCTAAAATCCTAACACCTAGACATCCTCCTTCAGCGAGAAAGCGAGTTGAACTTGACCTCTGCTTGCATTTTTCACTCAAGTCTCTTCAACCCCAAAGCCCAAGGAATGAAGCACGATGCCTGCCTGGTTGGTTTCTTACTGAAAGTTTTGAGACCGTTGGTTTTTGTTCTCTAAAACTGAAGCCATCACCATTATCGTGTGTTTTATCGCAGGTTCCATTCCTTTTTGCTCTTTATGGGCCACCCACCTTACGCGATTCGGGAAGTGAACATAAACAAGTTCTGCAGGATCCTTAGTGAATTTGCACTGGAGTATCGCACCACCAGGGAAAGGGTTTTGCAGCAGAAACAGAAACGGGCCAACCACAGAGAAAGAAATAAGACCAGAGGGAAGATGATCACCGATGTAAGTTTCATGTCATTTATTGTGAAAGTAGATCAACCATAAAATCTCCCCGCAGTTTGGGAGCTGTGCTCCCCACCCCCCACTGTGAAAAAAATGTCCATCTTTTAAAAAGTGCTCGTAAACTATTCCTCTACTATTTCTGCGAAAATCTATATAACGTACGTGGGACTAATACATGTAAATTAAGGATGTGTGGCTGGTGGAGGGACTTTAACCCATATTGGGGTGTTGTGGGATTTGGTGTCATTAAAGGCTTGATTCTTCAACCTCTGGGATGTGGGTAAAAGTGGAACAAAAGAAAAACAGTTAAATGGTGATGCCACTTATCATAGGAAGACAGGTATACTACTGATTTGGGAGTTGATTCAGGAGTTTCATCATCATAACGATGATATGTGCAACCAACCAGTTGACCCATGGGCAACACATTCTAGGCCTCTGAATAGAGAAATAATTGGTGAGGTTGGTCAAAGACATAATCTGAGGGCTTCCTGGCAGTCCCTTGAGTCAGAGGATATTCAGGTGGGAAGAAATCTGGACAACAGTGAATCCAACAGGAGTTCCCTTTAGCCCCTCGGGGGGCGGTCAGGGGGGAGCCTCTGCACACTTACATGCTTGCCTCACTCCTGGGCTTCTCTCTCCCACCTCAGCCCTGAGCCCCCCATGTCCCGGGTGCCATGGGCATTCAGATGGGAGATGTTCTATAAGTAGAGGGGAAAGGGATGTGTGAAGAAGCCAGAGACAAAGACATACATTGCAGGTGCCTCTTTCTGATGTGTCTTTATGAAATTGATCCCATCTGTGCATGGACTCGAGAAGCACACTGGCTCTGTGATACAGAGGATGGAGCGGGTAAAGAACCAAGCAACAGGGAGTGTCATCGTCCTGGGGGTTGCAATTCTCAGTGAAACTCCAGTCAGACATCTTTCTTTAGGGAGGAATAAAAGCAGTTAAGAAGACCCCAGGCTACCTTCTGCACCCCGATACGTGTGTGTGTTGTGGGAAAAACGGAGTGCACACGATTCCTGTCCACATTCTTGAGGGATCTGACATTTATGTGGCGACCGAATCCATCATCTTAGAAATGCTGTCATTTTATGGCAGTTCTGTGGACCACCAGGGACCAACCCCCTCACCCAAACTCCTCGTTCCCTTGGAATTTTCTTGACCCTTAAAGAGTGCTCAGTTCATTTGTCTGTGGAGGGAGTCCTCTGTGCAGCCCCCTGGCAGTTCTGAATGCCAGTGCCATCACTGAGAGTTTTCCTTCTCCTCTCCTGAAATCTGGGTTCAATAGGATGTTTAGCCTCCCAGAGGACAGCAACAGGAAGCAAACTGAATCCATTTGGTTAAACTGTGGCCCACTTTGCATTCCACGGTGTTATTTTTAAAAGTTTAAAAGGGGCTTACTTGCTTTTGTGGAAATGAGACACATTGGAGGGTGAAAAATACAAGCCCAATATGCTTATAGTTACGAAAACACATGATAATTTCTTGCCAAATTTTTGAGATTTTTTTTTTTACAGATCCCACTAATTTTTTAATTCTGTCCTTCTCCGAAAACATTCAGCTTGCCTATTTATAAATGGGTAAATGTTTCTGCAGTTTGATTCAAAAATATTTAAATTTCCATTAAAATGTGGGCTGTACAGGCTTCATCCTCAACATAGTCCCTGTTTTCAGTGGTCAGAATGGCATCATCCACGTACAAAGACTGCCATCTGCTGGAAAACTATGATATTGTCACTTAAGGCAAAGTGTATAGCTTCTTTTCTCAATTCTCACTTATGTGCCCAGCACTGCACTGGGCACTAAGGAAGATGTGACTGCAATAAAAGACAAGCTATACCCCAAGGGTATCCTCATGATCTGGTTAGAAAACAACATATACACAACTTACACTACTAAAAACATAGGCGATAGATTGAGTCCCTGAACAGTAGGGCTGTAAATGATTTTTAGAGAAAACTGTGTAGTAAATCATTTTTAATAAAGATTCTGGGTAAAATGAAGGTGGAAGTGGTAGCAGTAAAACAGACATGATTTGGCGGAAAAACTTTTTTTAATGTTTGTTTATTCTGAGAGAGAGAGCGAGAGAGCGCACGTGGAAGGGGCAGAGAGAGGAAGAGAGAGACTCTCAGGCAAGCTCTGCACCATGCACAGAGCTCGACGCAGGGCTCAATCTCATGAACCGTGAGATCACGACCTGAGCCAAAATCAAGAGTCGGACACTTAGCCAACTGAGCCACCTAGGTGCCCTGAAAAAGCAATTATTTTCCAAGATAGAGTGAAATCTGGGTAAAATCTGAAGACCCTGTGTTTAGAGTCAGCCCTGTATCTGTCCTTGTGTGCCTGTCCCTCCTCTTCTTTCTCTGTTTCTAAAATGAAAACGGCTTCCTTTCTCAAAATCCAGGAGTCCTCCCAGCTAAGGGTCAATATTAAATTAAATAGTTCCTCCTCCTTGTTCCCTGAAGTAGTTCTAGACAAAATGGTGACATAGACAAGGCAGCACAAGACTGCGGTGGCCCATCTACTGTCATCATACTCAAGATGGGCAGCAAGAACTCAGGCTATCAGTCCTATGACCTCCACATCCGGGGACAGTGGGGAGGTCTTGAAAATGAACCAGCCAGTTATTTTAGCAACAAAATGGGTTTATTTGGGAATGGCAGCGGAATTGCAATTTAGGACATGTAAGCTATAACAAAACCATAGGGCAAGTCCAGAAAACAAAGGAAAGGAATGCTACTTTATAGACAAAAGAGGAAATTGGGAGAGGCTACTTCCAATGAAAAGTCCATTAGAAAAAAAGTGAGAGTTCGGGGTGGTGGTGGTTTCTCATTGGCTGAGTTGTGGTAGTCTCTCATTGGCTGGGCTGTTGCCAGGCAAGAAGGAAATCTTCATCCCTCTTGCTGGGGTGCTAAGGTAGGCTTCTTCCTGTTGGTGGCTGCAATTGATGACAGCATTAAGGCATGAAAGCTTCCCCTTCTGGCTTCCTATTTTAAATGTTTCCTTCAGTTTCACAGACATTTATCCTCCATTAACCCCAGCTTCCTCTTCTAGAAAAAGGGAATGCTAGTTACTTTGGGGGATGTTGAGAGGGCTCGAGATTCTGTATAGGTAACACCTTATCCATGTGCTAATGATGAGAAAATGCCAATCATCCTGGTAAAATAATAAGTTCTAAACTAGAAATAAAAATAGAGCAGGACTCTTATCTCTGAGTGTGGTGCCATTTGCCTGGGGATGGTGTGGAACTTGATGAATCAGAAGCATTTTGTCATTTCAGCTGCTGAAAGTTTAGTCTGTTCTCAAAACCCTTGTGTCTGAGGGAAGCAGGAGTGCTGACACATAGGGGCACTTGTACCCCAATATTTATAGCAGCGCTTTCAATAATAGCCAAATTATGGAAAGAGCCTAAATGTCCATCAGCTGATGAATGGATAAAGAAGATGTGTTTGAGAGGCGTCCTGGGTGGCTCGTATGCCGGTTCCGTGACTTCATTCAGGTATCGGATCCATGGTTGCGGTTCAAGCCCCGTGACGGCCAGCTCTGATGCTGACCCTCGAGCCTGGGCGTGTGTCCAGGATTCTATGTTTCCCTCTCTCACCTCGCCCCACGCTCATGCTCTGTCTCTCTCTGTCTCAAAAATAAATAAATGTTAAAAAAAAAACAAAAGAAGAGAGATGCTCGTTATATATACAATGGAGTACTACTTAGTGAAAAGGTAAATCTGCCATTTGTAGCAACGTGGATAGAACTGGATATTATGCTAAGTGAAATAAGTCAGAGAAAAACAGTACATGTTTATTCACTCTTATGATGGATCCTAGAAACAATACCAAGACATAGGAGAGGAGGAGAAGGGGGAAAAAAAGTTACACAGAGGGAAGGAGGCAAAATAAAGAGAATCTAAATACAGAGAACAAACTGAGGGTTGTGGGAGGGGAGGAGAGGGGAAAGTGGGGTGATGGGCATTGAGGAGGGAGCACCTGTTGGGATGAGCACTGTGTTGTATGTGAATCAATTGATAATAATTATATATTAAAAAAAAAAAAAAAAACAAAATCCTTATGTCTGATCTGTGGGTCCTGATGTTGTAACCTCAGTGGAAACAGGTTAAATTGAGGGTGTGTTCTAATTCTAAAATCAAGAGATGGGCATGACTTTCACCTTCAGTTTGTCTCTTTTTTTTTTTTTTAATTTTGTTTAATGTTTATTTTTGAGAGAGAAGGAGACATACATGAGATGAGAGGAGAGAGAGGGAGACACAGAATCCAAAGCAGGCTCCAGGCTCTGAGCTGTCAGCACAGAGCCTGACACAGGGCTCGAACTCACGAAGCACGAGGTATGGCCTGAGCTGAAGTTGGCGCTTAATTAACTGAGCCACTCAGGTTCCCCTGCCCTCAGTTTATCTTTTAAAAAAGATATTTTATTTAAAAGTTACTTAAAGAAGTTTATCTGGTGATAATTAAAAGTTTGGCGTGTCAGCTCAGAAAGCCTCCATGAGGGGCAGGTAAGAGTTTTAGAAGAACTGAGTTTCATGTTTCGGAGGAAAGGGTAACAGGACCCATTCTACTTGGGCGGTTGTTCTGCGTGTTCTGCCTTCCCTGTGTGTGGAAGGACCTGGCAGCCTAGGTGGGGAGGGCTCTGGCATTCGGGATGAGAGGGAGGACAGTAGCTGGCAGAGAGCATTGGGTAGATGGAGGCTGGTCCACTTACGGAGGGCCCTGGTAACTGGCAGGTTGTGGTGGGTTCCACAGGACATGGCCAGCTGAATCGCAGGCCACAGAGCTGGGAGTCAGATCTTAATTGTCCGGAAACCAGGTATGCTGGCTATCAGCCCTTGGGCGGCCTCAGGAGGTTGGTCTGGAGCCCCACAGATTCCTCCTGACTTTGGTCAGAACTGGCCTTGGGGCTCACAGAGGGAATGTCTGGACGAGGGCAGGAGGGTTGTGCAGTCAGGGCCTGGCAGTTCCCAAATCAGGAGGGTGCACCCCGGTTTTGATGGCCAGTTTCTGTATTTGGAATTTGCTATGACATTGAGATGCTCTCATCTTTGCTGACTTCTGCACCGTCTAAGAATCCCTTCTGTCTTTTCCATCCTGTCCTGTCCTCTCGGGCAGACTGACGAAGAGGATGAAGTGGAGGTAGGACTGTTGACAAACATAAAGAATGCCACATTTGGCCTTCCCAGGCGTGCTGTAGAGTCTAACTTAACATAAGCGGCATGAGGCATCAGCACCATTCAGTGCTCTAAACCATGCATGGTTGTTTTCTGGTTGCTTTCGTGTGATCACTAACCTCCTGACATGGGTTCTCATCATTCTATGTATGCCAGGAATCAAGGGTTACCTGCATTTTCCAAGCTGTGCCTGAGTCCCAGGCCTTGTCAGGAATGGCCAAGTTCTAATATTGGAGATACTCTCCAATATTGGAGAAGTGGACAGGGAATTTACCCTCAAGCCCCCTGTCTGAGCCTTTTGGCAACTCAAATATGAGAGCTGGATTCTAGAATAACCGTAGAAAGAGCCCTAAAACCAAACAGGAAGTGGGATAGTGGCCACGAAAGCAGTCCCCTCTCATGGGCAGCCTTTGACTTGTGTCTATTTTCTCAGCCGGAATCCATCGGGTTCGTTGGGATTCACGTGTGCAGGGGTGGGATGACAGGGCTCCTCCTCCTGGGTCCGGTGCAGATGGGAGAACCAGAGACCAAGTCAGGGCTGATGGGCCCTGGGAGATGAGGAGGGAGCAGTGCAGATGGCACGAGCAGATGAGTCCTGGGCTCTGCTGCCATGGCTGAGACACTCGATGACAAGAGGAAGCCAGGAATCTGTAGAGCTGCTCTTTGCAAACATTAGTCTGACTGACTTTCTGTTTCTCCTCCAGATGTTTGCCCTTGTGTACATATGGCCCAGTGTTCTAGCATACCTCTTTTAAAACATCTAAACCCTGATTCTTTGCTCAGCTACAATTAGAGAATTTCACCACGTACATGTATTGCATGTTCGAACAACTACATTTCTGACATGGCCAGAAGTAGCGAGTGTTGCTCAACTCAGTTTCAGCATGAATTTCTGTGTCATGTTCGGGTCTGGGCCCTGCAGCTGATTCCCTTGGGGTCTTTGGCATGTCACTGAATCTTCAGTTTCCCTCTCTGTAAAGTGAGATGGGACTAGATCTGGAAAGATTCTACCCATCGCTTACCGTGGTATGATTGTGTGACTGAATACCATGTTTTAAACCATCATAAGTGGTAGATAAGAAAATTTTAAGTGCTTTCTGGTGGTAAATTAAAAAACTTGATAATGTGATTAACGGGGCATGTTTGAATTCTCACATCAGGGCTTTGGGGTTGGAAACAGATTTGGTTTCTGAGTGGTGCTTCCCAGGGTTGATGTCAGTCGTCCCTAGCAGGCAGCTACCGAGGGAATCTGCAGTGGGCCGGGAGAGCCTGGAGAGGGGAGGGCCGGGTGTGGTCCTTCTGGGACCATGGCTTTTCTTTCTGGTCAGAGAACTTGCGGCATACATGGATGGGTGTCATTGGTTCATTGACAACCTCAGTGACTGCCCTAGCGAATGCATCTGCAGAATGCACACAAACAACGAAGAGGGAGGTTTTCCTCAACGAAACGTTTTGTGGGCTTGAGTTGGTGTTTTGGGGAGTCACCTCACCCCTCACCCCTACTTTGGTCTCGTAGTCCGGCAAGTTCTCCAGCAGCTCTCCGGCGCCTCTGAGCCAGCCGCAGGGCCTGAGCTACGCGGAGGACGCCACGGAGCACGAGAACATGAAGGCCGTGCTGAAGACCTCGTCGCCCGCTGTGGAGGACGCCACCCCGGTGCTGGGCGTCCGCACACGCAGCCGAGCGAGCCGAGGTAACTCCTGGGCCGGGGGCAGTTGAGGGGGGCTTCCCCAGATGACCACCCGCGGGGACCCGGTTCCCAGCACGAGGGTACAGGTTACTGGGCCCAGGAAGTATCTGCTCAGGGCCTCCGACTCCCCAGGACCTCCAGTGCTGACCACACACGTTCCTTCACGCACACATTTGTGACCCACTGTAGTGCTTCGTCTCAAAGACCAATCCTCCCAGAGGTATAACTGAATTCACACAAGAGGAGTTATTATTATGAATGAATCCTTACGGGTTAAAGTGGGGGGGGGGGGGGGGGGCAGCAGGAAACTACCAAATGCAGCCAGCGGAGTATTTGGTAAATAAGGTTTTCTCTAGGACACGGCCAAGTGTACCCATTGGTGTGTTGTCTGTGTGCGCCTGAAGGCAGCCGTGGCCTGGCTGAGTGGTGGTGGGAGAGACTGTGAGGACCCTACAGCCTAAAGTTTTCATGAGCTGGCCCGTGTAGAAGAAACGTGCCGGCCCCTGGATGAAAGCACTATCCCTTTTTTGCCTTTTTAAATCTTTAGAGGCAATGAAGCGATGAAAACTGAAGATGGTAAAGACAGATAAGAGTTTCCAGATTCGCTTCATAACTTGGAAGGGTATTTTATTGTAATTAAGAATGAGGTGCATTTTTCATCCGAGAATGTTTACTGGTGTCCCCTAGTCTAGCCTGACACCACGTGATCCCCTCCTCGCTTTCCTCACTGCCTGCAAGACGTGGCCCACACTGTTCATGCTGTCGCTTCAGGCCCCTGTCGCTTTAGGCCCCTGGTCTCAGCTTGTCTCCCACACTTGGCACTCATTGGCCCTCCCACTGGGCACCACCCTTCTCTGCACCCGCATCTCCCTGAGCCCCCTCTGCTTTTCATGCTGTCCCCTTTTCCTCTGCCTGTCCAGCCCCCCTTCACCTCCAGAATCCGCCTCCTCCTTCATCCTCCTCAACTCACTGGGCCCATCCTTCCTCCCATGTGCTCCTGAGCACCCCCCTTCAGGCTGCTTAAAGATTACAAACTTTATCACTAAAGAGAATGAGCTCCTGACGGACAGGCTGTCTCTCTTCTTGGTGTTTGCTTCGCACATACACTGCAAACAACTAACAGAAAGCATACCATTTATTGTCCAAACTGGGGTGCTCTGGCACCTGAGAGCAGTTCTAGTAGTAATTAGAGAGGGGCAAAAAATAGAACAGGCCAGGAAAACTGGGTTGTGGGTTGGCTTCCACATCACGGAAACTCGGTAAGGAAATGCATGCATGTGATGCCCATCAGGCATCCTCCCAGACTCTGGAGAACATTGAGACTCACAGGATGACAGATGACAGCTACAAAGTAGAGTTGTGAGCTGGAGAAACCCCTGAGAAGGCCCTTCAGTGACTTCTAATTGGCTTTGTGTTTTTGGAATTTTGCTGTTGTCAACCCTGTTAAATGTAAGAAAAAAATAGTAATGATAGTAACAAGAACTTTGACATAAGAGACAAAGTAAATGCAGTTTCAAGTTTTCTTTAGAAGAAAATGGGTCACACATTACATTTGGTTTCTTGGAACTTCTTGTCAACCCAAGGACCATAAGCTGCCATCCAAGGAGGAGTCTTGAAAGGGCTTCCAGGCAGGGTTCCAGGTCCCTAAGGCATATGTGGGATTCCCTAGGGGAGCTGCACTTCAGGATTTTTACAAAATTACCACATGTTTTTCTTACTTCATGTGAGTTCAATATCACTCTAGCTCCTTTGTCTGTTTCTTAATGTTGGACTTTGGTTTTTACCCTTTTTGCAGGGGTTTTACTTTGATATGCAGCTAAGAATATGCCAGAAAAAGGGCTGTCTCCCTCCACCCTTGCCCCAGTGGTATCCTGAGACACAGACAGCAAAGCAGGAAAGTCATATCTTCTACTACAACCTTGATTCCCAAACTATACCTCAAATGCTTCATATACTATGATTACATCAAAGAATCAAAGATTTGGTTCTCTGGGATTTGGTTTTTCCAAACCCCCTGACTTCTAGGTAGTCTTGGATATGGAATTAGGAGAAAATAAATGAATATATGAATATTCTGCTGTAGCAATGAAAGGGCTGCCTTTTGGTAACCAACAGCAGAAAGACACAGCTGTGAACAACCACAGCCCTGAGCACTTTATGGGGTATGTTCTGATTGTCCGATTTTCTATGAGGAAGGAGAGGTATCCTCCACTTGGCCAGTGCTATTTATAAAAGGACCTCCATTTCTCAGAAAAGCCAAGTAGCGACACAGAGGAAGAATGTATATACAAGAAAGAATCTAAGAAGAGAGAAAAAAAGTGTTGAATGTGAGATGGTGAAGAAGGTAGTAGCATTAGAGGTATAGCAGTAGAGACTATCATTCTCAATGCTGCTTTTATGAAGCGTAAAACAAGGATAAGAGTAAATAAAACAGCTTTGTGGTGTGGTGGGGTGTGTGGAAGGGAATCACTTATACCTGTGGTACTCAAAATGACCTAAGACATCCCACGGATGAGTCTAGACTCTCTGGGCCCAGCAGCTCTTGCAGGCTTTGTGTCCTGGCCTGCACGTGGCCACCAGGAAGATGAAGGGGAGTGTCAATGCCCGCATGGCGTTGACCACAGCCATCAGGGGTCTGGAGCCCTATACCTGGGTGGCTGCAAGGTAGCTCGATGGAAGCCATCTGCGGAGATGGAGCCTAGTTTGTCTAATGGAACATAACAGGCTGCAAATTTTAAGAGCGAAAGAGATGAGAAAGGAAGACTGTTCAGTTTCTCTGCACATTCAGGGACTTCTGCTTCCAGATGGCACATAGTAGGGAGGGTCAGGGCACCACTCCTGCTGAGACAACTAGAATTTGTTTTAATACAGTGGCAGAAGCTTTCTTTTAAAAGATATCAGCAAACTGGTAAGGGAAAGAGGACTAGACAAACTAGAATTGTAGATGAGCTGAGAGCCCCTCCTTAGGACCATTTGCCAAATCTGGACACAGACCCGAGAACTGGGCCTACCGTGGGCAGAGAGACTCAAATAGTAGAGAGAAGTCAGCCAAATGTCTAATAGCTACGTGAGTTGGCATAAGGGTTTGGAAGTAGAGGGTCTCCAAACTCCAAGACTGTTTTATCCATGAGACATTTGCTAAGTGCTGGGGCAGCATGATGAGGGGGAGGCTGGGTCAGAAAAGTTGGAGGAAATCTCCTGTAGCCTTGAAGGGCCGAGGAAACAAAGACGAGCTTGAGAAAGCACCTTCGACAAATACATACAGATATTTAAACACAGAGGTGGACTGATTCTTCACTAAAACTACAGTCTGGTCCCGACCTCATTCCGTTCTTTGCCATGTCTGCTTAACAAAAAAGAGCAAAGGCTGGGGGAAATAACATGGACTCCAGTGTCTGCATCCTTCTGTACACAAAGTCCAGTGCAGAGTCCAAATTACAAGCCAAGAGAATAAGAAAATGTGCCCGACAAGGAAAAGGAAACACTAGCAGCAGATCCACAGGTGATCCGGATGTTGAAATTTGCAGCCAGGGTTGAACCATTCCGAATGTTAACACAAAGGAAAATATAGACAAATTGATTAAAAGGTGGACACTTGCAACAGAAAATTGGAATTTATTAAAAAAAATAATCAAATGGACATTCAAGAACTGCAAAAGAAATGTCTGAAATAAAGAACTCATTGAGTGGGTTTAAGAGCAGACTCATCCCAGCAAAAGAAAGGATTAATGACTTCACAGATGAGTTATTAGAAAATGTACAAAGTGAAGCATAGGAAAACAATGGGAAGAGCAGAACAAAATGTAAGAGGAATGAGGCACACAGTCCAATGGTGTAACCTATGTATAATGGGAACAGCAGGAAGAGATGGATAAGAAGCAATAATTGACAAGGTCATGGCTGAGAATTTCCCAGAGCTGATGATAGGTATCAGCCCCCATATTTAAGAAACTTAGCAAATTCAAGGAGAATAAATAAAGAGGAAAGCATACGTCATACAATGTAGGCAGACTGCGAGAAAACCAAAGATAAAGATAAACTCTTTTAAAAAACCAGAGGGAAAAGATAGATTACCTTCTAAAATATGACAGTCAGGATGAGGGCTCACTGTTAACAGAAGCCTTGGAAGTTAGAAGAAAGAGAAATGACATCTTCAAACCGCCAGAAAGAAAAGCTTTAAACCTAGAAGTCTATATCCAGGGAAATTATTTCAGAAACAAAGGCAAACTTGTGTCACACTCTATTTTGATGTAATTATTTCCCTTTTAGACTATTTCTTTAGGTTAGATTTTTAAGGGGAAAAATAAACTACAGTGTTATCTTTCAAACTACGCTTTACATTGTTTTTTTTTTTTTTTTAACTGAAGTGTAGTTGATATACAGCATTACGTTAGTTTCAGGTGTACAACATTGTGATTCAGCAAGTCTAAATTATCAACTCACATATTTTTAAAAATGAAGTCAAAGTGATACAGTGCTATCATAGTCTATAATACTTCATTCTTTCTATTTCGTCTCAGTATATAAATGTCTTGCTAACACTTGGGAGACTGTGGCAAGCCAGTGGTCCTTTGGGTCTGTAAAATGTATGGGCAGTGTTTCCCTGATGCTATGTGTGGGTCCAAGGGTTCCAGGAAAAAAAAATCCAACCTGTACATGACCAGGATAAATGCATATAAACAGCTCTCAGGCAGGCAAATAACCAAGGAGGGGTGGAGGTTAAAAAAAAAAACAGGACAAGGACTGAGGTCATGAAAGAATGACATCATCACAAAACTGAGTCTGGCAATCCTGAACATATGGCAGCATGTTCCTTTGAAGCATCTCCTGACACATTACGGTGAAGGCAGCTCTCTGGGGATGTATAAGATGGGAAGAATAGGTAATTCTTGGTAGGAAGATCAGATGATGCCTTCATTTTCTGGCCCAGTGCTCTGAGAATATATTATGAGCAAATGCAGTTGATTGAAATTTGTGTGTTTTGGGAAGGGTAGTTTGGCGTTTTAAAATGAGACACAGAATTAGAAACCAGTAGGTAAAAGGGAAAACAGGAAATTGCTGGGCAAAACACAATTGCACTATCGATTGCTCTGTCTGCTCTGAGGAGGACCATTGTTCAGAAGCTCTGAAGGGTCCCAGTGTAACAGCTGTGCCCGTATGAGGCCTCTTGCCTCCAATTAGACCACCTGGACCATCCTGAGAATGCAGAAACATTCAGCAATTTCAAAAGTTCTTTTCTGAGAGGAACCTATTTTAAAGGGTTTAATGATGTTGAAAAATCTAGTCTTATGGGAGCAAGTAGACCAGGTGCCCTTGGGCATAAGCAGAGAAAGTACAATTTACTGTTTTCGTACATGCCAGTGCTGTAGCTACGCTCCCATTCATAAAATAAATGTTTAAAATAACATAGGCAACAACACAAACCTTGTCACCCGAAAACATATGGACCTATCTAACCACAGGTCTCAGATACATGCAGGTGGTGGAGCCCCAGGAATCCTACTCCTTTTGCAAAGTGTGAATTATTTATGTACGCACTTCAGCGATATGCATTTTACTGGCTGAAATTATAACTAAATTATAGCATATTACATATTTGCTGTAAAATTTCAACCACAAACACGTAGCCACAAAAATCACAGTCTACTCAACTGTGAGCAGCTATTCACAGCTATTGTCATCAGTATCCAAACGCCAAAAGTTTTAAAAAATTAGTATGGAAGTAGAACTCCAGAATTTAAGATGTATATTTACTAACATTTTTTGCCTGTGGTTTAAGAAAAGCTGGCTTTTTTTCATCTTCAGCTGGACCTTAGGCTCTGAGTAGTGTTCCGTAGGCACAGAGTCTGAGAACACTCACCTACAGGCTTTTGAAGTCGTATGTTTATTACAAAGGGCAGTGTGTGTGGAGGAAACACAGTTTTGAGCCCATTGCACATATTTCTTCTTACAGAAATGTATTTCCCATCTTAGAGAAGAGATTTCACAAGGAAGTTGATCTATCACAAAGGCATAGTTCTTGATATGGTAAAATAGCATTCATTTCTAACTGTTGAACATTGCTTGGTAGTGCATGTTTTCATGATGCTTTCTTCTTGCTTGTCTGTAGGCAGATGCTTTTATGCCAGACTTAGACCTGCTCTGCTTTAATATACAGTTATTTATAAATGTGTTTACCTGGGCAAGGAGTAGAGAAAATTTTATGTCAGTTCCCCCTTTGTTAGTTGAAGAATGTTATTCTGTTATGATTTTTTTACTGTTTATTTATTTTTGAGAGAGAGAGAGAGAGAGCACGCAAGCTCAAGCAGGAGAGGGGCAGAGAGAGAGGGAGACACAGAATCCGAAGCAGGCTCCAGGTTCTGAGCTGTCAGCACAGAGCCCAACACGGGGCTCAAACTCACGAACATCGAGATCATGACCTGAACTGATATCAGGGACTTAACCGACTGAGCCACCCAGGCACCCCTGTCCTATTATGATTTTTAAAGGTTAAGTAGTCTGAAGATAGACTGCCACAAAACCCACTGATTTCTGTTTAACTGGAAGAGAAGTTAGGGGTAATTGACATTTACTAGGCATATACAGCCATGGATAGAGAGCTGAATTAACACAGAACTCCAGACATTAGTGGACATACATCACTGAGCATCTGTGATGCACTCTGTGGTATGGTATCTGCCCTCCCATGATCCCGGGGCCTATTGGGTGGAGGCCTTCAGTAGCTGTTACAGGGTAGTATTAGGTAAGTGCTCTGAGGGGGAGTTCAGTGCCTGGGGGGGTAGCAGTCACAGGTCACAGTGGTGCCCTTGCAGTGGGGTGGGGTGGGGGGGCGGGTGAGTGCCTGGGATCTGCTGCTGTGATCCATTGCTGACAGAGCTCCGTGCCTGGAAGAGTAGTGTTGGTATTTTCTCTAGTATGTTCCTTCTCTCTGAGTACATCTCTCTCTCTGGTTGTGTAATCTTTCAGGATCTGCTAGTTCGTGGACTATGGGAACGGATGACTCCCCTAACGTCACAGATGATGCAGCTGATGAGATCATGGATCGCATCGTCAAGTCGGCCACCCAGGTGCCCAGTCAGCGAGTAGTGCCTCGGGAGAGGAAGCGCTCCCGGGCCAACCGGAAATCTCGTAAGTGCTTTGGAGCTGGGGTGAGGGACTTACCTGCAGGTACCTGCCCTCCTGTATGCCCTGGGAAGGGCAGCCACTGTGAGACTGGCTCCAGCCAGTTGTTGGACAATGCCTGGAGGGTCCACCCAAACTCATCGGCAAAAGGCTCCCTGCTCCACAATCAACGTTGCTGTCGTGGAGGAGGGGGGCTGCAGCCACACCTGTCCGGCATATTTGCCACTTCTGGGCGGGCCTCTCTCAATTAGCCCCCAGGAGTGTCCAAAAGACCCTGAAATATCTCTGGTGTGCAGGGGTGGCTGCAGGGGGGCCATTGCCAAGTTCTGCTGCAGATGCTTTGCTGAGGCCATATTTCTGCATCGGGGGCCACTTTCTAGCTGAAAATGGTTCCCCTTGGAATTCACTGCTACTCCCAAACATGTCAAAGGTGAACACCAGTGATTTTATGGGGAGTAGGGTGCTTAAAATACTTAATGTTAACCTAAGTTGACCAGCTTGTTTTTGTTACTAAATCAAAGGACCTGTTTTTCCCCTTTGTCTGAACCCACTGCCTACTTCTGCCCACAGAATGAAGGAGTGGGGCTGCCTCTGCAGGCACCTCGTTAGCACTCAAAGGGGCTGCACTCTGTAGAGAAACACAGTTCCTCTGCATCCTTTGATATGGGTCTGCATTAGCTGTGACCCTTGCATGTTTTAGGAGAGAGCTCAGCCCCCAAGATTGGGCCGGGGATGCTGGGTCACTCAGGAGACCTAGTCTCTGCCGTCTCTGCCTCCAGGAATAAGGGATGGTGACTAGGACAGGGATTTATGACCATCACAAGAAGGAAGCCTGGTTACTTCCGCCTGTACTGGCTCCAAAAAGTGAAAGGAGAGTGACTCCAGGTAGGTGGGAGTTCAGTAAGAATTCACAATATTTGGTGCCACCTTTGAGATTCACACAGGAGGTGATTGGGGTTTGAGCTGCAATGTCTGAGAGAGAGGGCTGGGGAAAGGAGGCCAGGCAAGGGAGCGTCCTTACAGAGGTGAGCATTGTTGGGCCAGAGACCTCGGAAAAGGAAACTGCATGACCCAGTGGCCTGGCCAGTCCCCAGAGGCCCAGGGTACGTGTTCTGCCTCCAGGTTATATGTCTATATTGGCAAAGAGTGTAGGCCCTGCCCTCTGGTCTAGAGAGAACCAGATTCTTAGAGAGACACATAATGTCACTGGGAACAATAACACAGTCATAATTAATTTTCCTTTTCAATCTGGCCAGAGAGATATTTTGCCTGTTTTTGTGGCCGACGTAAACTCATTTCCTGTGGTATCGTTTCCATTCCAATCTTATGCAAAACAGCCGTATACTCTTTTTATTTAGCCAAACACATTTTATTCTGCAATGCAGTTACTACAACAAATACAAGACTGCATGTATGTAAGTGTTTGTCTGTGATGGGTTTAACTTATTAGTAATGGCACCATCAACAGAAATTTAAGATGGGGGAAAGTTATTTTGATTTCTGTTTAAGAGGAATGATAAACTCCAGCTTTCTTGCAAGAGGTTAAAGGAGTAAGAAAAAATCCAGTTTGCAAAATCGATGTGAGGTTTCCTGGTGTGGGCCTCCCTCTCAACCAACGCTGTATTTGATTTGATTGTTTAATGGTGGTGATGAGGCAAGTGGGTAATGAATAACTAGCGTATTTCTGCTATCAGTCATTTGGCTAAAGGCAATAATAGTCCAGCTGTTGCAGGAAACCAAACAGAATCCATCCCATAACCTAGAAATTTATGACCTGCAAGCCACTTGAGAATCCTCCAAGATAATTAAATGTCTGCTTTCGTGTTTGATGCTGGTGACTAGGACCGCGCGCGCCAGAAGTCCTGCTAAAGCTTGAAATATGCAGCCAGTTGGGACACAGCGAGGGCATCTTAATTGATTCGCAGGTTCCCATGGCTCCGTGCTGCGTTTCCAGCCTGTGACAATCCAGTTGTCTTTAAGTAAACTGTTTTGAATTTCCAGTTGATTTCTAGCCTGTGATATGATTGATCCAATGCACTTCATGTGCTTGCCCCAGATTCTGGCCAAGATTCTCCGACTGGCTGGTGAATCAGACCAAGGGAGAACATTCTGGGAGATTCTTGGTTTTTTCTTATTTTGGTTTCTCATTTCATCTTATTGGGGCATCTGTTTTGTCCCAGGGCGATTTGTTCTCTTCAGCCTCCTAAATGTTGGCCTTCCCGGGAAAATCCTGAAGCTGAATGGCATTTGAGATCTCCTTACTAGTGTGACTCTGTAGGGTGTGCCCTGGTGGCTGGTAAGGAGGGGACGGGGAGCTGCTCCCCACGTTCTTTTCTCTTGGACCTATCTTTGGAAGAAGGTCTCTGCCCAGCTGGCTGTCTGCATATGGCCACTAGCCCAGACTATCACAGAACATAACTGGGGTGAGGGACTCATAGTCTGTTCTCTTTTCCCAGGGGAGCCGAGTCTTGTCGTGGTTGAAAGGGGCTGGGTACCATTTTCCTGTTGAGCTTCCTTTTAAGGTGGGGGTCTGGGCCCCACCTGTGACATGACTATGAAGCCTGGGCACAGAGCTGTATTTCTATAAAGATGTGATTACTTTGATATGACTCACAAATAACTGACCAATTTCTTAGCTAATTAAGATCTTAAGGCTGGTCACTCTTATAAAAATAGTTTCTCAGTGGAAAGAGCTGGAAGTCCAGTTCCAAGGGCTGCTGGGAAAGGAGTGCAGAAGTTTGATTTGATCTGACCCCCCTCCCCCCAACCACGACTGCCTCATCATGTCATAAAGCTTCAACATCCCTCTCAAAGAGCATGTGGCATATCTCACATTGATTTGATGTAACTAAAAATCTTACTTCTTTTATAGACTTTTGAGGGATGTACCCACACTAATAGGGTACTAAATAAGGTACTAAATAGGATTTCATGGAAAAAAAAATATCAAACCTGAAAAATTACTGAATTTGTTTTAGGAAAAACAAGAGACCTGCCTCACAAAATACTGGATCCAGCCCTGGATCTGATCGGTACAGAACTTAGTTCAGTTGTCTCTACATCTTCAAGGTGGCACTTGAAAATATCCAGCAATTTTCCCATTAAAGTCCCATTGAGAACCATTTCCCTGCATTTTGTTTAGTTTTTCCTTACTGACCATGAATCAATTTTATATTCTTTTAGAAGGCAAGCTAACAATGGCAATAAAACAGAGGCATTAGAACTAATGCTTTTGCAATACAGTCAAATAAGATGTTAGTGGGAAGGACCAAAATTTCTCAAACTTTTGTCTTTTCCAAAACAGCCTCATTCCTATTTACTCAGTGCCGAATTATTCTTAGAGCTCATTATGGGTGGACTGAACTGACCTGCCTCTAAAGATAGCTGAGGGAGCCCACCCATGTGTCCGGGACATAGGTCACGAGGATAACTAGAGGAAGTCCAAGAGAGGAACAAGGCCATGGCCTGGGCCAGAGGTCAAGACTCTGATGCAGCACGAACCTCAGATAGAAGCCTCAGGTCAAAGAGGCAGATGCAGGGAGAGTTTGGAAATGTTTTATTGCATTGGCTCTCCAGCAGTTTCCTGTTCAGACAAATCACCCTCCCAAACTGGGAACCAGCACATTGGGAGAGAGGAGTCTGGCTCGTGTGTCTTCCCCCAAGGCTGGGTGCCAGGCACCCATTTGGCTCAGAGTGGAGGTTCAAGAGGAGGGAGAATCAGTGAAAAGAGGAATCCGGGAATCTGTCTTGCCTTTGAGAGCTGTTCTGAGAGCAGAGCAGAGGGTTTCTGTAAAGGGGCTTTGGAAAAATGCCAAGCACCTCCCCCACAAGAAGTTACTGTATTTCTTTGCTTTTGCTGCCCAGGCAGCAAAGGAGTTGCTTTCCATGTTTGGAATGCACGCATTCATATGAGAGAGAAGGAGATGGGGGTCCCCTCGTAAATTACCTGGCCTCACCGAGCCTCAGTGTGCTGCTATCCACTGAGGCCAGAGGTGCCACCTCGCAGGATGTTGTGGGCATTAAGTGAGGTGCCTATGACAGGTTCCCACCACTCTTCCTCCGCAGCTCTGTCACGCTACTGCCAAGGGACCCCAGCCGGGTGGGAATATGAAGCTGCCTGCAGGTGCTTGGGCTGCTGTGCTGAAGTTTCAGGGGAGCCTGTGCACAGAAACCACACCTATCCAGCCGCTGCTCCACTCCCATCACCCGTCTCACTCCCCTCCCACCACTGCCCACCTCACTTGGCCATCCAGGATTAGACCAGACTCCCCTTCACCTCCCTTTTTACCCCCAGGGGGCTCGTTCAATGGACTTATACCTGTGCACCGAAGGCTGGCTTGTCACCATGGTACTTGTCTGGTGCATCTCTGATGGAGAGCGGCTGTGCTGGGCTTCATCTGGAAAGGGGGGAGGCATTGTCCTGCCCATGAAATAATGCTGAGGACCCCAGAGTCTGTGAATCTTGAAGCCTCTTCTTTCTTGTCTGCAGAATCCCCCAAGTTCATGCATGCTGTCCCATAAACAATGGAGAGAACTTGTTTCCTGACTCCCTTCCCTTACCCATAGCACACAACATAGGAGACAGTCTGCTCTTACATCTGAACTGTGAATGCTTTCTGGTAAGGGCCTGACTAGGAGCAACAAAGTGTATTGGGGGGTACTGGATTCAAATGTAGCCACGGACTAGGCAGAGGTATTTCTGTGGAGCCAAGACTGTGACCAGACCAGTGGTTATAGAAATCGCCTGCTGCCCTAAGTATTTCCAAGAACCATCTCCTCATGGGTGAACATACTTCTGGATTAGGCAGAACTCAGAGACTTCAACTCTGTTGTCACAAAGGCCATCACTTCTTGAGGGCCTGCCTCTCCCTGTGTCTTAGTTAGGTGGCAGTGATTTAAGTCGGGACCTGGCTGGCCATTTTAATCTTCCCCAGAAGATCTTCTGGGGAAGATTAAAATGCAACATATGGGCCTTTCACTGACACTCCTGTTCAGTGTATCTGGGC